AAAAAAAAACAAAAAAATGAGTGGACAAAAATAATAAAAAAAATGGACTGGACAAAAATAAAAAGGTCGTATTATGAGTATACGTTTTTCAATTAAAAACATATTATTGTAATACGTTTTAATTGTTAAAAGTATTCTCGTAATACGTTTTATGCTAAATAAAAATAATAACGTCATTAGCTTAATTAAAATTTACATAAATCGTGATTAATTTCATTTAACAAACATAAAATGCATTAAACAAATACGTTTTAAAGGAGAACGTATTGCAAAAATACGTTTTTAAAGGAAAAACATATTTTAAAATTACGGTTTTAATAATAAAATTAATTTTATATTATTTATTGCTATTTTATTAATTAAAAAATTTTCAAAACGTATTATTGAAATACATTTTTTAAAATAAAAAAAGAAAAACGTATTCTTGAAATACGTTTTACTGTGCAGAAACAACAACTGTACCGGTAAAAAAAAAAACACACACTTGTTTGTCAAAATCGATTCCACAACCAAAATTCAACCAAAATATTAATTCCAAAAACTAATAATATAAATTCCACAACCAAAATTCAACCACAATAATTTATTCAAAATGTAAATATTTCAAAATTTCATTACACATAATTCAAGAGAAAAAAAAAAGCAAAAATTTCTATAAATTTTCCCAAATAGTTGCTAGGAGTGTATTGTTCCGGAGCTCTGCGTTGTTGGGAGCCCATCCGACGCTGAGGTCGTCGTGAAGAAGACGAGACTGTGGGCGTGGCAGCTTCTTCTTCTTCTTCATCTGAATAATTATTTTTTTCAAAAAATCAGTAATTCCACTTGACAAAAAATAAATAAATAAATAAATATTTTTACCTTCTTCTTGTTCTTCCTCAGGCCGGGGTCGACAGCGGGACCGCGGGCGGATTCGCGGTCACGGCGTCTATGTCCACCAATATTGGCACGGGGTTGATGCCTCGCCTGGTGCGATTGCGTCGTTTTGGGTGGGACGTAGCTCTCATGAGATGTAACTTGACTCGACGACGTTCCTTGCGTGACCCCTTGGCCTCTGTCAGTCAGTCCACTGTAGAGCATGTTTTGGGACTTGAGGATTTTGGCGCGCGCCTCTAAAGTGAGACTATCAAAGTCGATACTCGATAACAAGTTAAAAACTCCCTCCATGGTTTGAGATTGAAAATTAAATTCAAATTAATTAATATTAAACACTAAAAAAATCATAATAATAAAAAAAGCCACAAATTATGAACACTTACACTGCACATCCCATGCTCGGCAAGTGGCTGATAGCCTCCGTCTTCTTGGACCACCGGGTAGTTGTCAGGGTTATTGATTAGTCTCACAGTCCTCTCGTGAAACCAATCAAGGTAACCCAGCTCAGGCTCAAGGAATGACTCCACAGGATAACATGGGAGGACATTTTGGGCTCTTTGTTCGACCCAAACATTCCCAAGCGCTCCATGATACTCGACCCAATCATAGAATGCCCTCTCAGCCATCCCTTAGCCTCGGTGGTGTGTCTGGTATTTGGCCAAACCCGTAATGATCGGAGGGTCGGGGATGGACTGTCGACACCGAACTGACGGAGGACCCTATCAGGCAGGTGGGGTTCACGATTGTTCCAACAAAAGAGCCACCCCCTATACATCCAAGGGTGTGAACCTTCTATACACTGGGCCGGGAGAGTACCCTCGTCCAGGTGGTGCTTATAGGGCACCCAATCGAACTGTAAAAAACAAAAAAAAAAAAAAAAAAAAAAAAAAAAAAAAAAAAAAAAAAAAAAAAAAAAAAAAAAAAAAAAAAATAGGAATTTGGAAAAGATTATCAAAAAATTAAAAACAAATATTAATTAAAATCAATATGACTTAATAATAACCTTACATTCGTCTCTGTCAGCCCTGTCAACTGATCTCGGACAGCGGTTGTTCCCTTACCTACGTGTCTCGTGTCATTCCGTCGTACCCACCTTAAAAATCACATAAAAAAAATAAAAATTATAATCACAAAATTTGTAATTGAAATATTCTAAGTATTAAATATAAATAAATTTGATTACCTTCCTCCTAAGGACAACCATTGACTTTTTCAAAGTTCGTATCCCTCATTCTTGGGCTAATACGAGAAGTACGTTCTCATGCCCAAACCTACACATATCGACATATGCATTTGTTATCAGATATTAGTCTAAATTAGAATAAAAAAAATAGATTTTCAAATAAAAAGTAAGTACATTTATTTATCTGAATGAATTGGACACAGTTTTTTTTATCATAAAAAGTAAGTACATTTATTTAAAAACATATTTTTGCAATACGTTTTCCTTTTATTTAGTACGTTTTATGTTTGTTAAATTAAATTAATTATAATTTATGTAAATTTTAATTAAGTTAATGACATTATTATTTTTATTTAGCATAAAACGTATTACGAGAATACATTTAACAATTAAAACGTATTCCCTTTTTATTTTTGTCTAGTCCTTTTTTTTTTGTCCACTCATTTTTTTTTGTTTTTTTTGTTTAAATAAAAAAAATCAGTGAACTTAGTATAGATAAAGAAGGTGAGATTAGTATGAATTTTTGAGAGTATCTATTTTCGGATATTTTTTTTTCTATTTTTTTTTTAATTATTGAACCGTCGATCCTGGCTAGTCCTACGGTTCAATCAAATTATGATCGTTGGATCTAAACGATTTGTTTACAAAATCTAACCGTTGGAGGTTCAAGGTCCGGGGCCGTTCGGTTTTTTTTTTT